GATGCAATCCTGGCCCTTAGATCTCACAATCTAAAGCACCAGATTCATTCTCATTTCTCTCCTAAGATCGCATTCTTACCAGAACCAATATATATATATATATATATATATATATATATATATATATATATATATATATATACATACATACATATATATATATACATACATACATACACACACACACACACACACACACACACACACATACATACATATACATATACATATACATCTCGAAAATTATAAATGTAAATTGTATGATCTATATATGCGTTCTAACACATCTTAATGAAAAAAATTATATCAAAACGGAGCCCAGACCATCCAAAAAAACGATGGGAAAAAACAACACATAAAGCCATACATGCATCGACGAAATGAATCGGCGTATATGGAATGCAAATACTTTAATAATCAAAGAGTACCAGAGAGGGAGAGAGTTACGGATGAGCGAGCGACAAAAGAGATGAAGCGGAAGAGGAGGGATCGAGAAAGAGAGGGTCGTAGCGGCGGAAATGAAGAGTAGGGTTGGGACGGTTCATTGTTATCCTTGGGCCGGGAATATATTTGGGCCGGACGATTCATTGGGCTTAGGACTAATACTGTTTCTATAAAATATATACAAGTATATAAAATACTACTTCCTCCGTCCCACAAAATTTTACACATTTTGACTAAAGTGGAAATTAAAAGAGCGATAATCTTGTGTTGACTTTCCAAAAATAACCTTGATTTGATGTGTAAAAGTAGGAGGTGATATGTAGATTATAAGGAAAAAAATATGATGTGATAGGTAGGGTTTGAAAAAGTAAGAGGTAAAAGTAGTTTTTTAATAGAAATGGGTAGAAAATTGTGGGATGCAATTTTTTGAAAGGTGTAAATCTTTTTGGGACGGAAAGAGTATATTGTTTCAATTTTATTTTTTTCAGTTCAAAGTTTATCAAGCTTGATGGAAAATAGTCAAATATGGACATATATAGACAGACTCAAGGAAGGGGTAGTATATTTATTGGATTAGTATTTACTAGGTTGGATAAACATGGATGAATTATATAAACATAATTTACTCCCTGAAACTATAATTAAATTGCATGTGAACTTTTCTCACAGTTAAACTTCAATCACTTTTTTTATTTGATTTTGTAATTTGATTCAATAATATAGTCATTTCCCCATTACTTTTAGAATATGTAATTTTTGTATTTTAATTCTACATCTTTTTTCATATTAAATGATTTGAAATGAAATTGAGTAAAATGTTGAAAACCAAAAACGGTGATTCAAATATTTATTAAGTTATGATCTATCATATAAATTCATTTTTTAATTTCTCATCCATCCACTTTATTTGAATCCAATTTATTTATATCATACGGAGTGAAATTTATTCATCGTTTCTTTAAAATAATAGTTAAATATTCTTACTATGCAACGCACGGAAAGTGTTAAAGATTTTGATTTGCAATAAAGACCTTAATTCTTTCATCTATACTATTCTTAAAAGCAGGGGAAATTCTGCAAGCCTTTTTCCCGCCCAAACAATTAGCTATTAATGGTAAGAACTTAAATAGCCTTGAAATATTTTTTTGGTAATATATATTACCTTTTATGCATTTAATTATAGAAAATATTGCTACATAATTACCTTATATAGCTTTTATTTAATGTCAATTTAATCACGGAAACATTTTTCAAAAATATAATACCTTTTATACGTTTAATTGTAAGAAAATATTTTTACATTATTACCTTATACAACTTTTATTTAATATGGATTTAATTATATAAACATTTTTACGGTAATATATTAATATAACTTTTATGGAGGAAATATGTTTTTGTTAGGTGCGTACTATGTTAAAATAATAACAGAAATACTAATGTAACAATGGTAAGGATTGAAATCGCGCTAAAATAGTGTTCGTTCTGAAAAAATATATGTACATTAACACCTTATGTAGCTTTTATTTAATATAAATTTGACTATAAATTTTTTTTATCTTTTAATAATTTTATGCTTGAAAAGTTAGTCTTAAGATTCAATTATGATTTAATTTAAAATTTCAAATCAATAATTTGATTTGACTTTATAATAACGTTTGAAAATTGTAATGATAATTCATATTATAATATAATCAATATTTTTTTATTTAATGATTATTTTTTAATAAAATAAAATTAGTTAATTCATATATTAGAAT